ATAAAAAGATTCTTATATATTTTATAAGGATTTATACAATTTTAGTAAATCAGATTGTAAAATTAAATCTATTAAATAAAGTTTATCAAAGATTAATTAAATTGATTATCTTAGATTGTAAAAGTTTTATAAGTAAATTTGCTTACTTATTTACTATAAATTTTCTTTTGATTTAATAAATTTTATAAATAAAAATTATATTATATTAATTTTATTATTGACTTTTAATAATCTTATTAACATTTTCTTTTAAAAATATTAATCATAATAAAATATTATAGAGAATAACTTTAATTATAATAATTTTTATGATTTATTAAGAAATTTATAATTTTTATTAGTAATAAGGTGATTTAATTAATTTATAAATATAAGAATTTAAAAATATTTTAAAAATTATTATAATAAATTTTTTAAAACTTAATTTTAAAAATTAAATTTAGTAATATAGTAATTATATAAAAACATATTTAATATACTGTATATTTTATTAATTTTATTAGAAAAATTTTAATATTCATTAAAAATTATCATTTTTTTTTAAGTTTATAGATAAATTTATCCGTTAGACCATTTAAATAAGTATAATAAAATTATGTTAAATTTTACTTGTTTTTTATTAATATAATTATTTAATAGATTATACTATATTATATATATTTTAATATTTTTTTTTTAAATGAATGAATAAAATATTAGATAGTTTGTTAAAAAATTTATTTATTAAATTAACTTACTAGTTTATTATTAAATAAAAATAGAAAAATCAAATCTGAACTAATATATCAATTAATATTTGATATTCAAATTAATAGTATTATAAATTTTAATAGTATTAAGATAAAAAAGCTTAAATTATTAGATAATTAGTTTCTATTAATTATTTTTTAAATATAGATGAATTTTTTTTGATAAAATCTATTAATTTTAGATAAATTCATAAAATATTAAAAAATTAAATATTTTTTTTGTAGTAAAATATTTTGACAAATTTCTTAAATTATTATCAATTTTAATAGCAAACATCCTAGATAATATTTTTATATAAAATGCTTAATTTGATATTGAATATTATATAATAACTTATAGTATATTAGAATTTAAAAAGTATTTATAAAGATTCAAAAGATAGTATAATAATTTAAATTAAAATATATTAATTTAAAAGATATTAAATTAGTTTTAAAATCTTTAATTCATTAATATCTTTATAATATATGTAAAAAATTTGTTATACAAGTTAAATTCAATATTTTATTTATATGATTAATTTACTTTCTAGACTAATTAAATATATTTTAGTATATATTTATTATTATTAGTTTATAAATATTTTAATATTATTTTAACAATAAAAAAATATATAATATTAAATTATAAAATACTGATTTTTATCTGAAAAATCATAATTTTATAAAACTAATCTAAATTATCATATTTTAGATTAATTTATATTAGTAAACTATCAAATTTAACCTGATAAATATTTGGTTATTAATCTAATTAATAGAAAATACCATTTATAAAATAAATTAAATGTTAAATTTATAATTTAAAATATAATGTATCAGTTATATTTCCTTTTAAATTTTATTAAATTTGTGAAATATTTTAGCTGATTTTCAAGTATACTAATTAGCTATAAATAAGATAAATTAAATATTAGTAATCCTTAATATATGTTAATTGATGAGGCTAAATTTTAGCTGAATTTTAATAATTTGCTAATTTTTAGATTAATTTATTACATATCTGATTTTTTGATTTTAAATAATATAAAATAATTTCTATTTGAAATAAAATTTACTAATATAATAGCTTTAATAAAAATATAAACTAAGTTATACAGTCAACTCTTAATATAACAAACTCTTAATATAATAAATTTTTAAACAAATATAATAAAAATACTTCTTTTATATTGAATTAGCCAATTAACTCTCTTAAAAACTTCACTATAATCTTATAACAAAGTTGAGATTTAGAACATAGAGTTTGTTATAATAAGATTTAACTATATATACTATAGATATTTTTATTATAGTAAGAATAATCTAAATCTTAAGAAAAATAAATTATTATCTTTTATTAATAAAAATGAATAAAAAATAACTTAATTCAAAAATATTCTATTTTTGCTTTACAAAAAAACTAAATAAAATAAAAAAAATATTATAAGAAAATATCTATAAAAAAAATTTAATTTAAAATAATTAAATATAAGAAATTAAATCTTTATAAACTAATTATTATATAAGAAAAATTATAATATTTTAATTAGAATAAAAGTTAGTTATTATAAATTAATTGAGAATACAGATTATTTTATATATTTTTTATTTAAAATTTTATTATAAATTTGATTTTATTAAAATATATTAAAATACAATTAAATACTATATAAAAAATTATTATAATTTATATATAGATAATTTGAAGAAATTATTATGCAATTACTTGATTTAATGAATATTACATAATTAAAAAGTATATTCAAAATTGTGAAGATATATACAATTTTATTATGAAAAATAATAGAAATTAGCTAAATATATATATATATATAATTTAAATTATATAGATAAATTCTATAAGATAATTAAATAGCATTTATAAAAAAAAATTATAAGAGAATTATAAAATAAAAATAAATTAAATATTATTGATAAATAATTATTAATTTATAATAATATAATATTATATTAAATTAACTTGTATTATTTAAATTTATCAATAATCATATATTAAACTTGTCATTTAAATTTATTTTATCACTTTATTAAACTGATTACAATTATTTCACTTAATATATGATATGACTTATTTATCATATGATTTTTTAAAAATTTTGAAATATGATACAGAAGGTGAAATAATCTTTTATGAAGTATTAATCAGTTATTTTAATATGTAAATAATAAATAAAACTATTTATTATAATTTATACTACTTATCTAATAAAAAATAATATTATTTAGTAAAAAAAATATTTGGTTTTTTATTTATTTTAAATTTTTCAAAAATTTGTATATTTTAAATCATTTTGTAATAATATATCTTATAAAAGAAGGTTATTTGTGAGCAAAATAATACATTTTTATATATTAAAAAGAAAGTAATTAGTTAGATTAATCTACTTTCTCTTAATTTAAAATTTTAGAGTAAGATAGAATTTAGCAAATAATTGATAAAGAATTTTATAAAGATTGTATTATTTTAACTGTAAAATATGATTCTAAGAGAATATTCAGATTGTTTTTCATAGTTTAGTCTTAGATTACTTTTATCATAATTACTTCAAATCTTAAACTTAATCTTATTGAGAAACTTTTATTAATTTTTTAAGTCATAAACTTTAAAAATACAACCTTAGATCATTTAAAATTCAAAAACTAGAAAAAATGATTATTAAAGAATAGAAGTTAATCTCTAAAGAATATATTAATGACTAATTAGTTCCATATCTTTTAGAAATCAAACAGTTATTTCTGCTAAGGGAATCATATTAAATGTTAAACATTATATATATAGTAGATATTTACAATTCATATTCATATATAATAAAATCAATAATAAATTTATTTAATATTAATTTTACCCCCTATAAATCATGAGATTCTAGTCTTTAAGTATTGCAAATTTTATATTATTTTATAAATTAATCATATAAATAATAATTTTATAAAATATAATAATTAGCTATTATATATTTATTATTATATTAATAATATATTTAATGTTAAAAATTTTAAATGTATTTATCTATTATATCTTATTATTTAAATTTATGTAATTAAAATATATTGTTTTAATTTTTTTGTTAAATCTTTAATTTAATTTTATTATTTTATGCAATATCTTATTTATATTAATAAAAATAATGCAATCATTTAAAATTATATACAGTAGGATCTATCGATCATCTTATGTTAGATGATCTCATAAATTAGGTATTTAAAATAAATATTCAAAACTTTATGTAAACTTGCATTTCGGAGTTCAAGTTGAAAAAAATAGAAAAATAGGTTTGTAAATCAGTTTACTATATAGAATCAATTTTGCAACCCAAGTAATGTTCGAGAGACTTTTTGATGAAGTAACTGTTGATTCTGAAAATTTTGAAAATGAATCGGTTAGATAATTTATACTTGTAAAGTTTTTAAAATTTAATAATGTGACTGCGCAGAAAATTTGTAGGCTTTTTCACCTCGTCGTTTTCATTTTTACTATGCATTCTGATTTTTTCAGTAGGGATCGAGATGACCCATGAAATTTATAAAATGTATCTCTTGAAGATTTTCTATATCACCAGGGTTTGCAGTAAGCGGCAGAATGAATTCCAATATTTCCACAACGTTCAGCAATAGGTTTCTACTCCGGTAAACCCGTCCCGTAAGAGTGATTCCTGAACTTATCTCCACCAAAGAAGAATTTGAATGGCCGCATTCGGAAGAAACGTGAATTCAAAGTTAGACCAACGGTACCGATAATTGCTGATTCTCGTTTAATTGTATTCGTGCATCGCTTTTTACAATTGCCAAGTTATCACCGACAATAAAAATGAACATTAGAAGTTCTCCAGATTTCCAGTATATATTTTTAAGAATGTAATAGAAATCATTCTCGAAGGATGCTCCAAGATATTTCTTAAATTTTTCGATTGATTTGTAAAAAGAAAATGACGATGGGAAGAGTATCATTTGACATAAAAAAAAAATCCATATTTTAGGAATTGAATTCTAAATAGAAGCTAAGCATACTGAAAAGTTATAACCACCTTCTTTTAGAAATTATTAATCATATTAGTGTTTATGTGTTAGTCAGATGATTCGATATGTATGTGTAATTTCGTAATATTGCAGCAGATCTGGAACGTTTATAAAAAGGGCTTAAAAGATCCCCCTTTCGATTTTATTTTTTCTTCCAAAAAAATTTTTTTTTTTTATATTTATATTTTACAGGAAATAAATTTTATTTTTCGATTAAAAAATATTTTAAACATGCAAATCTTTGTTAAAACTCTTACTGGAAAGACGATAACTCTTGAGGTTGAGTCTTCAGACACTATAAATCAAGTAAAAGCAAAAATCCAAGATAAAGAAGGAATTCCCCCAGACCAGCAACGTCTTATTTTCGCTGGTAAACAACTTGAGGATGGTCACACCCTCTCCGATTACAACATTCAGAAAGAATCTACCCTTCACCTTGTTCTTCGACTTCGCGGAGGTATGCAAATATTCGTAAAAACACTCACCGGTAGCACCATCATCCTGGAAGTAGAGAGTTCAGATACAATTGATCAAGTCAAAGCGAAAATTCATGATAAAGAAGGTATACCACCTGATCAACAACGTTTGATTTTCGCTGGTCAACAGTTAGAAGATGGTCGTACCCTCGCTGATTATAAAATTCGTAAGCCAACCCTTCATTTTGTTCTCCGTTTACGTGGCGGTCAATAAATGAAATAATGCAATTTTTTTTAAAAATAACAATTTAAAATATTTATGCATTAGTTAGTATAGTGTAGTATTGAAGTAAAGACTGGATATGATAAATTTTTAGATTATCTTTTTCTATAATAAAATATTTGTATTTTAAGAATAGATTTTAACAATGGGTAATATTTTTAATGCTACACTCTATTTGTATAAATGGAATAAAAGTTTACTTTAGTTAAAATGGCTCTAAATTCGACGTCCGACATTATCCCGAAGGCTGTTTTCCCGAATGGACGTTTTCCCGAAAACTTCGGGCAGAGTTATCATAATGTAGGTCAAACTTTTCGGGAAAACGTCCATTCGGGAAAATGCCTTCGGGATAACGTACTGTAACCCTCTTTATTGAATTTCACACTTTTTGTACGTTATGACTTTGAAATTCAAAACATCAATTTGATTAAAGAACATAAATTTATTAATTTACGAACATGAAACAATTTGTTCGTGCAATGCTTATATGTATGAATTTAAATAATTTTATTGATGTGGTGATCCTATCTATTTTAGATTTAACAAAACTTTTTTATTGAACAAATGTATTTTTTCATAAAAAAATAACGATGATGATAAGCTGCAATTTTATCATGTATTTGATTCTTTCTATATCTGGATAATAGTCAGGACAATTTTTGTTACTTATTTGTTATTTATTGACATTTTCTTCTTTAAATTAAATAAAATAAATCCTATTTTAACACCTAATTTTAACCTTCTTAGTAACTTCGATTGCAGATTATTATTAATTTGCAATTAAACCAACAGATATAAAGTATTACAATTACAATACAATCCAAAGAATTTTATACTGAACTAAATCTTCTAAAATAGCAGGTTTGTTATATTCAGAGTCAATTGTATTTTAAAAATAAACAACAAGTTTTACCAACTTCTAATAAAAATTTATCAATTTATAATAGAAGTATTGAAAAAGCTTATCAGAAAACAATTTATCTTTATAATTTACAAGGTATAACTAATAACATTTAATATTTATTTATTTATTTATAGTATTTATTTTATATTTAGGAAATTTAATTTTTAATGCTACTGACTATTCTATTATAAATTATATAAATAATCCTTTTCGACTAGATGGCTTAAATAATTGTATATTAGTAAACTTTCAGCTAAATCAAGAAAAAAATCCAATTGCAACTTGTCTTAAATACAATAATACTATCAATACAATCATCAAATATACTACCAAATGTATCATCAACTATAAAATTGTCAAATGTGTCACTAGCTATACAATTGTCAATATCAGCTATATAATTATCAAATGTATTAGTACTATTAAATTTACTACTGCCATTCTCTATACAAAAGAGACAGACTAAGAGAATTAGATAAAATTTACGAAAAAAAAATGCAAGTATTATATTTATTACAGATTATTATTTTTAATAAGTTAACTAAACATTTTATTATTTATTAGAATAAAGAAAATATACAACAATTATCAACTCTTTAAATAATACTCAATTTATTTTATCAAGTCTAAAAAAACTCAGATTTGCCAAATATGATTTTGAGGAACTAGAATCTTTGATAGAAAATGTAAGTGAATAAAATATTGATCAAAGTAAAGTATATTATAAATTTTCTTAGTTAAAAATTTAATATAATAAAATTTATCATTTTTTAGCGACAGAAACTTATCCTTTTTGTAATAAAATTTTACTTATCTAAAGTCTAATAAAATGAAGTTAGCATTAAACAAACTAAATAATAAACAAGGTAATTATTATATTCAATATATTATTTAAATGATTACTTATTAATAGTTAAATATTTATAGAAATTATTTTAGAATCAGATCAAATAGATTTTTATTATATTCATTTTGCTAAGTCATTAATTATTCAAAATGGATTGGCAAAAAATTATTCTTTTATAATCAATTTTGACAAATTACAAAATTATATCTATTAATTTAAAAATAATTTTATACAAATCATTAATGCTAATACTTATAGTTATTATCATAACTTTGTAAAACAAATATACCAAAATCTTAAATATAAGAAGATTGTAATACTAATAGTATAGTAGGGCAATTTTGGGGGTTCTGGGGTCAAAATTGAAAAAAAAAATATCCAGAAAGCTCTCAATCATATACCCGAAGCTCTTCTAGCAATACGAATTCATAATATAGAATTCAGTTTTAAAAATCGCACTGGCGCTCAATTTCGATATAAATCCTTCTTGCTATAAAATTTGTGCTTCAAAACCTAAAATCAAACAAAATTGATATAACCTTTCTAGCGCGATTTTAAACCCACCAAAGATATCAAAAAAAATACCATTCTATTTGCCTTTGAGATGATGCGAGATTGGCAAGAACCAAAGGTTCGAAGTCAAACTCGTAGAGTCTCTGCAAACCTTATATGTATATTAATATTTATGCTATACTGCTTGCCTTTAGGAGTAGACTCGATTATTGAGGAACGAAGTGATGAAATATTCGAGTCTATGACCTTGTCAAGCCAAAGATGCATACTAATTTTTGAGATATCCTAGAATTAATTCTAAAA